CTCGATCATTAACCACACTACGGACTCAAAATCCTTAGCACTACACTTAAATTCTTGAACCTACTAGGACTATTGTTGAGAGTCAACCACTTTGACCTGGTCCTGAATATAACCAACTCTGACGCTCTTCTAGCACATGAACACCCTCTAAAAGAAGCAACCGGTTGAGTTCCTTTCCTTGTACATCACCTCCATAAGAAGCATAAACCTTGAGTCTTCCCAAAATTTGCACATGAATTGATAAGGCGAAATATAGCACACATTCATCAAATCCTTTGCTCGAATTACCCTAGATGTTTTCTTTTTTTAATCATAAATAATCCACAAATGCACCGCTAACCAGAGGTCGTACAAGCAGACAACCACGCAATTCAATCATAGACGGTGGACTCCCCCACTTAGCTTTAAGCTACCATCACATACTGTAAAACCCACAAAGATTCCTCCTTCTCAATCACCCTGATCTTGCACCGTTAACCCGCCGAATTTCTCGAAGTCTTTTGTTAAGCTTCTCATGAACATTCTAACTCATCATTCACAATCACATATTCGACCTCTTACCGGATAGCAAGTAGTATTCTTCGTAGAATCTCCATCAACATCACGCAACAACTAACCTGCTCACAGGAGATAACCCATCTATGGAAATTCCATGCCGACATCTTCCAACAGTGCTGCACTAGGTACAACTACTACAAAATCAGTAGGCCCTCCTAAGCCCATGCTCATCCACCAGTTGTACAAGTCCGTTCATTCTCATTTGACATCAACTAAAAGTGCGAAAATACATTCCGAACTCGAAGTCACGTTGCATCCAGAACGATAATCAAGTCTTCACACCCCTTTTTATTTCAAGCAAACTCCTATTTGCCATATTCCATCTCCCTCGATACAGTAGACAGTACCTCAAATAAAATCCATAGACCAAATCACCTTCAATCACGATTCCCCAAATTGCCCTAAACTTTCTCAAGGCATGTGGCTATCCTACCACATAATCCATATGCTACTCTACCGCTCCCACTTCGGTTAAACCATATTCGTTAAGCAACTTCTCGACCTCTCTTTTTCATACTTGACATGCTGGTAATTCAACTATCGCGAGACACCTCCCGCCATGCCCTTCCTCATACTTTGCTACCCGAAAATTGCCCCAATCAAATCCATGCTTGTAGCACCTGAACAAATGAGTCGTTACCAACTCTAAACCTCCTAGAAGATCATCTTTCTCAAGCCATCAACATTAGAAATACCAATTCAATCCTGAACTGCCACACACCGCTATCTCTGACAACCGATCCTTTGGCACCATTTCACAACACCTTGCCCCGAAGGTCAAAAATCAAAGAAGACTATAACACCAGCGAACCTTAATGTGTTCCAACAAGGACGAAGACACCACATCAAAATGAGAATTCCACCCTACTCAAGAATATTAAGTCTCGCTACTCCATCAACTAAAGCCTGAACATCCAAAGGAATCTGCACGTAGCCTCGAAACCATAGAAAATACAGCTACTAAGCTGAAATAACAGAACATCCTTCCACAAGAAAACGATAATAACTTGCTCGAATGTGCAGGGAGAAACATCCCGCTCCACGTCTGTCGTACCACTACAACTCCTTGATACCCAATGGACATGAGTGTTGAACATCGTACAAGAATGAGTAGGAAGGAAATAAAGGCTTAAGCCTCACAAGAATCAAATCACACGATGAGGAATCAAGAAGAGAAGTGCTCCTAACAGCCATGTAGCCTCTCGAAGATAAGTATAGACGTCTTCGTACCGATGCATAAGACTCTACAAGATTGCTCATGACTCGTGAGACCAAAGTCCAAAATCCACTAAAGATCGTGATGGTGCCCAATATCGCCGTCAGGCAAGCCAACGATGAATGTTTAGCTTAACTACTCATTTTAGTATTTGAATCATAATTTTCATTTATTAAATCATTTGAAATAGACTTTACAGAGTAAATGATAATGTCCTCACAACTTTAATCACGAACAACTCGTAGAAACCCTCAAAACCCGGTGTCACAAGTAGATTAACATTTTCTAAGGAGTACAACAATAATACAATATTTGTGCAGAATGTAAATAAAATGGGATAAAATAAATAGTACAGTTGGGACTTAGTAGATTGCGATGCGTAGCCTGAATTTGCAGCTCACGTAAAGCCTCCTCAACAGATGCGCATACGCGCCAAGATAATCACCAAATGACTTGTCAGATCCTGCACATTTAGTGATTGAGTGTCATCATGACATCCTACGGAGGAAAATTGGGGTCGTGACAAAGCTTCACTTTGAAAAAGGAAGAAACAGAAGCCAAATAAAAAATTAAAGTTTATAATTTCTGAACTAACTAAATTTAAAACTCATTTAGTTATTGGCATCGTAATTAAATATTTTTTTATATATAATAAATTTCTTAATATAAAAGATTTAATCAAAAGTTAATGAATGACCCGAAATTAATATTATACCTCCGCCCCGGAAGGAATAAGTTGAAAATTATTAGAGCCCGTTTGGCCATGAATATTTTTTCATTTTTTTTGAAAATTTTCACTTTTTTCGAAATCAGTGTTTGACCATAAAATTTCCAATTTTCACTTGAAGATCAATTTTGAAATTTTTCAAAAATTTAAAAAACTCCAAAAAGCTGTTTTTCAAAAATTTTACTCAGATCACTCACAAAAATTAAAAAAAAACCCAAAATTATATTCATATCCAAACACAACTCTAATTTCCAAATACTATTTTCATTTGAATTTTTTTTTTCACTTTTTTCGAAATTTACAATTCTTATGCCCAAATGCCCAATAAATATGAAGCTTCCTTTCAGTCGAAAGCCGAGACTCCGTCAGAGTTTGCAATCAAAGCCCTTAAATTAATTTACAATCAAGATAAATGTATACATAACATTATTAATGTAAAATTATTCACGATCTTTTTCGGAATTTCATGCAAATCCTAGGTTTGATGAATTATGGATCTTTCCTCGTGGAAGCTATCTTTTTTACAAAAGTGCTTCTCATATTAAACAACATGGTCCCCCCTCCCCCCACATACATAGGCATATTGTCACCTACCACCGTACCATATATAGTTATATACTAGTAAGGTGTTGCCCTTACACAACACGGGCCCAAGATAAATAATTAAAGTAGATTGGATAATTTAGCTCTGTTTTGCGATCTCGAGTAGCGCATAACAATTTTAATATCTACGGGGTAGTTTCTGGCAAACGATCCGAAACTAGTCAAACAACATGAAAACCAATAAAATATACTCCAACAGTCATAATAAATTAATTTATAGCAATTCCCAAATCCACTCGAAAAGTCAACAAAGTCAACCATCTGGCCCACGTGCCCAGATCCGAAAATTCTTGAAGATAATCATTACCCATAACATCATGAACTCAAATATATAATTTATTTCTAATTCCATGTCCAATTTCGTGGTCAAAATTCAAAAATACCATTTCTAGGCCTTTTACTAAAATATCACATTTTCCACATAAATTCTTGAATTTACAAGCCTAAATTCGAGTAGTTAACAAACAATGCGCAGAAATCACTTACCTCGTGTTTGATGATGAAAATGGCACTCCAAAAATGTAACGATCCGACAGGTCGTTTTGAGTTTTAATGCATTCTTTGGCAGTTTGAGGCCATGAACAGCTTCACTTCAGGTAATATGACTTGTACGCATCGTCAAAATTGAATTTCGGAAAGTTCGGAGTTTTGGAAAGAGAATTTTCATTTCGGAAGCTTTAAGTTGAAATAATGGACTAAGATTAATTGTTTTTTGAGTAAACAACCTCGGAATCGGGATTCGAAGGTTCCAACATGTTAGTATGATAATTTCGTACTCGGGCGTATGTCCGGACTGGGTTTTGGAAGACCCGGGAACGTTTCGACGCCTATTGTGGAAGTTAGCATTTTAGAAGAATCTCATAAGTTTGGGTTGAAGTGCATTTCAGTGTTATCAATGTTCGTTTGGGATTCCGAGTCTGGGAATAGCTCCGTATGGTGATTCTGGTATTGGGAGAGCGATCAGAAGTGAATTTGGAGGTCCGTAGGTCGCTTTGAAGTCATTTGGCTAAAGATAGAAATTTGAAGGTTTTTGAGAAGTATGACTGAGAGTTTGACTTTTTGATATCAGGGTCGGATTCCAATTCCAAAAGTTGGAGTAGGTCCGTAATGTCGAATATGACTTGTGTGCAAAATTTGAGGTCAATCGGACGTGATTTGACGGGTTTCGGCATCGAATGTAGAAGTTTGAAATTCCAAAGTTCATTAAGCTTGAATTGGAGTGTGATTCATGATTTTGACTTTGTTTGATGTGATTTTGAGGCCTCGAGCGAGTTCGTATCATATTTTGGGACATGTTGGTATAATTGGTTAAGGTCCCAAGGGCCTCGGGTGGATTTCGGAAGGTTAACGGAATGGATTTCGGACAAAGAAAAACTGCTGAAATCTGTTGCAGCAGCTGTTCGCCAGAAAAATTCTGATGCGAGGAGTCGATTTTAGAAGCTCGTATCTTGCAATCTATAAGGAATCAGAAAATTTGCGAAACATGAAAATTGTATCCTTGCACTCTAGTTTCCAGAAAATTAAACCATTCATGATTTGAACATTTTATCAGAAAGTTATGACCGATTGAAGATGGCTAGTGGAGCAGTTTCGGCAGAATTTTCTAATGCATGGAGCCAACTTTAGAAGTTCATATCTCGGAATATATAAAGGGTTATATGGTGTGCAACCTATCAAATAAAAGATCTTCGAGTCTAGTTTCTAAATCTTTAAACCGTTTGTCAGTTGGATATTTCCACAAGGAGTTATGGGCGTTTTAGCAGAAGGTGTACAGTAGGGGGAAATTTTAATAGGATGTACAACCTGCACAGCGCAAGGTACAACTCGATGAAGCCTGGGCAGATTGTTTTAAACACGGGTTTTGGCCCATTTCTTTTATTTGGCTTGGACGATTTTGGAGAGCTCAAGGAGGGATTTTCACCAAGCAACACTAGGTAAGTGATTTCTTCATATTTTTGAGTTAAATATGTGATCTTACTTGGATTTAGACATGGAAAATTAGTATAAATTTAGAATTTTTGGGGAAGACCTATAATTTGGAATTTTGGATTTTTACCTTGAATTTGAGCATGAAAATTAGAGCAAATTGTATATTTGAGTTAGTAAAGCTATGGGTAGAATTTATCTTCGAGAAATTTCGAAATCCGGGCACGTGGGCCCTAGGGAATTTTGGTCAATTTTTCGAGCGGAGTTGGGAACTTATATAATTTGAATTGTTACATGTATTAGAGTGAATTTTTATCGGTTTGCCCGTTGTTTGAATAGTTTTGGGGCATTATGAAACAATTGGAGTCGTTGGAAGAGCTTGGAAGTCGGTTATGGAAATTTCTGAGCGAGGTGAGTCTCCTTTCTAGCCTTGTAAGAGAGAATTATCCCCATAGGTGAAATAATTGGTTATGTGCTTCTATTTGTGGGGGCTACGTACGCACGAGGTGACGAGAGTCCGTGCGTAGCTACTATTATATTTAAGTCCGGGTAGTCTAGGACCCAAAAACAAGTTATACTTGGAATAATTGTAATCTTATTGACAGTTGAATTGCTTAAATCCTATCGAATTTAAATGAATTTCTCAAAGGATTAAACTTCATTTTTCTTGAATCATTAAAAGAGAATTGGCTTTTATTTGGATAAGCGTTCCCCGATAAATTCTTAATTGGCTGTTTGAGCATGTATTTCTATGTGTACTTGTGTCGCATGAATGATTCGCGAGCAGGATGATTGTTGATTTAAATTTGACCGCGTCGCAAGTATAATTCGCGAGCGGGGTAATAGATGCATCTATGGTTCGGGTTGTTCGATCCTCGGCAGTGCACATATTACATTTCTGTTGGATCGGGCCGTACGACCTCGACATGATATGCGCATGCTTGTATTGCTTGCCTGAGAATTTTAAATATTGATAATTGCCTTTCCTGGCCAGAGATAAATTGATAAAGATAATGAAAAGTAAATTTTGGAAATCCTTATTATTTGAAAAGTTGTTTACTTGTTTTCTGGCTTTATGATTTTAATTTTGCTTATGAAATCCATGAATTTCTCACACTTTTACTATATTATCATTGGACCACTAGTAAGTGTCGAAGTCGATCTCTAGTTTCTACTTCTTTGAGATTAGACAGGATACTAATTGGGTACACGTTGTTTTCGTACTCATACTACACTTGCTGTGCATTTTTTTTTGCACAGGCACATGCATCTCTAGTGGCCTAGTGGGCGTAGCGTCATGGTTGATACAGAAACTTAGATGAGCTGCACTTCCCGAGACGACCCACAGCCAACAGAGTCTCTTTTAAATTACTATATTTACTTTCTATCCAATATTGTATTCCAGACGGTTGTTGTACTACATTATTTCCTAAAAATTCCTCATGTACTTGTGACACCGGGTTCTGGGATGATCACATGATTTTTCAGTAGTTAAATTTTGTAAAGACATCCTCATTTATCCAGCAGAGTTTATTATTTATTTGTTTAAAGGAAATGATTTCAAAATAATTAAAATGAGAAATTGCTAGTAAATTGCGGTTGACTTGCCTGACAGTGGTGTCCGGTGCCATCACGACCCTTAGTGGATTTTGGGTCGTGACAACATGGTATCAGAGCACTAGGTTTCCTTAGGTATCACGAGTCATGAGCGAGTCTAGTAGAGTCTTGTGCATCGGTACGGAGACGTCTGTACTTATCTTCGAGAGGCTACAGAGCTATTCAGAGCACTTCCCTTCTTGATTCCTCATTATGCAATTTGGTTCCTTTGAGACTTAGGAATTTTAATGGTACTACAGATGTGGTGTGGGATGTTCTCCCTGCGTGATTGTTTAGGCTATTGTCATCGCCTTGCGGAAGGGTATTTTGTCATTTCAGCTCCGTAGCTGTACTTCTTAGAGCGTTCAGGCTATGCACATGTTTCTATGATGGTCATGAATGGTTATCACACGATATTTGATGTGATTGTGGGATGTTTTTCCATGTGTGGAAGCAGTATATGACTTGAAAGGAGGTCTACTCAGTGCATGATTCCGAGATTCGATATTTCATTTCCGGCGGAGAAAAGCAATTGGCCTATGAATGTCCAGATTTGGATCGATGGAGTAACGAGACTTGGTATTTTCAAGTGTGGTGGAAATTTTTATCTGCAACGCGGTGTCGTCATCCTCGATGGAATATGTTAAGGTCGCCAATGTTATGATCTTCTATGATTCGCCTTTGGGGATGGATATTGTGAAATACTATTGGAGAAGCGACTGCCAGAGATCGTGGTGTGTTGTGATTTAGGATCGAACCGGTGATTCTAGTGGTGATGGCCCGAGAAAGATGTTTTTCACGGAGATTTAAAGTCAGCGGCGATCTGCTGATTCAAATGCTGCAGAAATAGGGTTCAAATCAAGGCAACAACTGGGCATCAAGGGAAGAAGAAGGACAGGTGGGAAGTGTCATGCGATGGTTAAATTTCCAAAGAAGCCGGGTGTAAGGAGCAAAAGTCAAATAGTTGCTTAAAGAAGAGGGTTCGACCAAAGTGGAAGAATGGCAGAGTAGTATATGGATTCAGTGTAGGATAATTACATCCTTGAGGAAAGTTTGGAGTGATTTTGGAGTTCTAATGGACGGTGATTGGGTCTACTGATTTAATTCGAAGTATTGGTTATTATGCGGCGGGAGGTTAGAGATGACAGAAAGGAGTTGCTTGATATGAAGAAGGATACAACATGACTTTGGATAGGTAGATATTGTCGCACATTTAGTTGATGTCCTCGAGGAGTGAATGGACTTGTGCAGCTGGTGAATGAGCACGGGCTCAGGTGGGTTATTTCCTGTGAGCAGGTGAGCGGTCGCGTTGATGGCGAAGCTTCTGCCAAGGATTTTACTGGCTATCCGGTAAGGGGTGGAATATGTAGATGTTGATAGAGACTCAAAGTGTTCATGAAATGCTAATTTAAGGATTTCATGGAATCTGGCGGTATAATTTTGTAAGTTCATGTCAGTAAGAAATAAAGAATCTTAGTGGGTTTCAGAGATGTGTAATAGTGGCTTCAAGCTAAGTGGGAGAGTCACACCGCCTACAGTTGGTTTGCATGGTCGTCTATTTGTAAGGTTTGGGATTACCAGCATATTGGTGAGTTATTTCAGCTAAGGGAAAGAACATTAGTAGTAATTTGAGTGAAGGAATTGTTAAAGGTGTGCTATAGTTGGCCTTATTGGCTCATGTTCGGGCTTTGGTAAGATTCGGGATTTATGCTTCATACAGAGGTGATTTACAAGGGAAGTGATTTAGTCGGGTGCTTTGTGGAGATGGGTGTTCATGTGAATAACGGTCCTAGTGGATTCAAAGGTTAAAGTGGGGTGCCTAAGGATTTCGAGTCCATGAGTATGGTTAAGAATCGAGCTTTTGTAGAAGATTATGATGAGAGGATCAGAATGTTTTATGATGTTTTGACTTGTAGTGTAGCATTTGGGAGGTATGAAATGGTTTGTGGGATTTGAGATAGCATGGTCGTGATTCAAGGCCATTCGGGATGAGTGCGGATGAAGTGTGTTATGTGTTGAATGGAGTTATTATTATTTCTAAGGCAATCAAGAATTAATTTGGAAGAAGATAGATTGGTTAGCCATAGTTGAATTGGCATATTGGTGGTAGTGATCAGTTCCTTCAACGTGATCAAGTTATGCAAGTGATTTGTGACGGCACGTGTGAGGCTTGACGGTCGTTGTAATTGATTTTATTTGGAAGTATTCAAGTATTATGGCCTTGTTATGTGTAGGCAGATCCCGGAAAGGTCATGGTGGTTTAGACCACTACTTGAGGATTTGAATGTTCTACGGTTATGAGAATTCACTNAGTCACAAGCTCGGATGAGCAAGAAGGGGATTTGTATATTTGAAGTAAGCTGTTATTGTCTTCAGCGTCACCTAAGATCGGCATTTTGTGTCGGAGGATTTGCATCTTGGTTATGGATTCTTGACATGCTTTACAATATTAGTGTGACCGATGGTATAGATGTGCAGACTCGTTATATAGCGTGGAAGGTCGTGGAGCGTATCTCACGGGAAGATTGTATAAGTGTGACATGTAGTCACTTGATTGCTTAAATATTTAAACCAAGTATGAAGATCGTGATAATATCACTAATTTGAGAATTTATGCCTAGAGGGCACTCGACTTATTGGGTTGTAGACCGTGGAGGATTTCCTCAGTTATGATGGTAGTTCTCGTGTGTTATGAGAAAAAGGGAGTTATTAGGAACCTTCGAAAGGTTAATAGCCTAGTTCAGTATGATTAGAATCAACTTGAGGTCTGTGGATGGATCTAAATGTGAATATGGGCTCTATATCAGGCCAGATGTGTTCATTTTAGCAATGCACTCCTTTGGACAAGTAGTTGGGGTACTATTTCGTGAAGTCAGCTATTTCATGTAATGATATATTGCATCGTATGAGTTGTGAGATGGCTTGGTGAATTTCTTATGTGTTGAGGTTCCGCTTAGAGATGATGTTATATGAGCAGGATGGCTCTCGAGATTCAGATCGTATATCGTACCTCAGTTGTGCTTGAGTTTTGTAGCCTATGGCACTATATGTCTCCCCAGGGATGGTATTATGCACTTAGCGTGCTTGTGACCGATATTCGGTATTTTGTTGTAATGAGTAATTTAGCTCGATGTATATCTCCTTATGTGAATTCTATGTGTGGATCGGGTGGCACGCAGCCATGGGTGTATTATTTGGATCGGGTTGCACGCCGCAATAGTGTGATGTTGAGTACAGTTTTCTATATGCTCTTTTTGTATGCCTTGTTTCCTATTTTCTAAGAAAAGTCCATATTAGTGCGTGAGTTGAGTAGTTCCTTCCAGAGTTTGTTTTCCTTTTGTCACGTTCGAGTTCATAGCCTATTGACACATTGTGGCATCATATGAGACTTTTGATCATGTCCGGGGTGGCTTATTGCCTGAGCAGTTCGTAATGGGTGAAACGAGATTATTGGATCTAGGATCAGTGTAGTCGGATTATATGAAGTATATTAAAGAGCAAAAAAATCTTTTTATGGTTCAGAATGAGGTAATGGTTCTTGTCAGAAGTATAGACTCAATGATTTGTTGACTTGGTAGTCGGTCATAAATTTCTACACATCTCTTCTGTCGTAGAGGTATTGCGAGAGAGCAATAAGATTCGGGCAATGTTGGTTATTATGATCAGAAAATATTATTATGGTCCTATGAATGATGTGGTGCATGGTGAGAATTCGGCAAAGGTATGCAGTCATGTTCTGGTACATCGTGTAGTGATTGATACGGTGTTCTTATATTGGGAGCAGGCCTGGTAGAGAAATTTGGATGTTGAAACTGGGCTCTAAGGCTCATTTGTTTGAATAAAAGAGAATATCTTTAGATTTGCTCGAGCTAATATGCTCAACTGAGTTGTGGTAGCACAGCTAGGTGCACAAGGTGTTTAACTGTGATTTCAGACAACTCCAGCGCAGTTCTTAGCACGTTCGAGGACGAACGTATGTTTAAGTGGGAGAGAATGTAACGACCCGACCGGTCGTTTTGAGCTTTAGCGCATTCTTCTGTTGTTTGAGGCCATGAACAGCTTTACTTCAGGTATTATGACTTGTACGCATCGTCAAAATTGAATTTCGGGAAGTTCGGAGTTGATTTGGAAATAGAATTCTCATTTCGGAAGCTTTAAGTTAAAAGAATGGACTAAGATTGGATTTTTGAGTAAACAACCTCGGAATCGGGATTTGAAGGTTCCAGCAGGTTCGTATGATGATTTCAAACTCGGGCGTATGTCCGGACTGGGTTTTGGAGGATCCGGGAATGTTTCGGCGCCTATTGTGGAAGTTAGCATTTTGGAAGAATCTCATAAGTTTGGGTTGAAGTGCATTTCAGTGTTATCAATGTCCATTTGGGATTCCGAGTCTGGGAATAGCTCCGTATGGTGATTCTGGTATTAGGAGCATGATCGGAAATGAATTCGGAGGTCCGTAGGTCGTTTTGAAGTCATTTGGCTAAAGATAGAAATTTGAAGGTTTTTGAGAAGTTTGACCGAGAGTTTGAATTTTTGATATCGGGGTCGAATTCCAATTCCAAAAGTTGGGGCAGGTCCGTAATGTCGAATATGACTTGTGTGCAAAATTTGAGGTCAATCGGACGTGATTTAATGGGTTTCGGCATCGAATGTAGAAGTTTGAAATTTCAAAGTTCATTAAGCTTGAATTGGAGTGCGATTCACGATTTCGACATTGTTTGATGTGATTTGAGGCCTCGAGCGAGTTCGTATCATGTTTTGAGACATGTTGGTATAATTGGTTAAGGTCACGAGGGCCTCGGGTGGATTTCGGAAGGTTAACGGAATGAATTTCGGACAAAGAAAAGCT